ATGTACAGAATGCATTGTTATCCATAATTAATCGCACCAAATTAACATGTTAAATCGACAGCCCTAGTTTCAATACATTATTTTTAGTTGTCATTTGGCATGTAATGAGTGTGATGAGAATCCCATGTCCTTAATAGTAACCAATACCTACTATTTGTTTATTTAAAGCAGCTTTGTGGTACTGAATTTTTTTTGTTTTCATTTCAGGCCAGCACTCGCTAACCAACAGCCGGGATGTCAGCACCATGGACACGCTCCCGCTCAACGACAACTTCAGCAACAGTTACTCACTGCGAGAGGACGACTACGAAGACCCTGCGTTGTGCTGCCCGCCCGCTGACGCTTTGCGTCTGGATGACGCTGCCTTTGAGAAGATGATCATCTCCGAGCTGGTTCACAACAACCTGAGGCCTCGTCGGCCACCGCAAAACCAAACCAGCTCAAAATGCCAACCGGCGTCTGACAACAGCCACCAGGGTCCGCAGGAAACCTTCGACGTGGGTGTCGGGAATAGAAACCGGAGTGAAGATGATACCATAATTGCCGACACCTCTGTTTTGCCGCCATCCTCTAGCCACCCGGCGCTGGAGCTTCTTCTCCTTCACCCGAGCGACCGGGAGGCCCTCGAGGCTCCGCTTTTGCCCCAACGAACTCATTCGCTACTTTACAGCGCTCAAAAGGCGTCTCAACAGGCCGTCAGGCTGCAGAAGGACAGCAGAAAGGCAGAAGAAGATGAGGAGAGCACGAAAGAGTTAGACGACGCGCCCTCGCCGAATAACAGGGACTCGTTGTACACAAGCATGCCCAATCTCAGAGACTCTCAGTCCTCCGAATCTCCTGACCTTGTCAGCGGACAGGACGACGGTTCTCCTTGCTCTTACGCCCAAAGTGAAACTGAGGAACAATGCTACAAGAGCTTGCCCGACCTGGGAGACGGGACTCAACCTCTTTCCTACTATCAGATCAGCCGTCGAGGCACTAGCGAGGGCTGTATTGGCCCCGGGCTCCCCGAGGGCTGCCTTCCACTAGAGGAAGAACCCGCTAGCGATGGACAGATGCAGCTAATCACCAGCCTCTGAGCCAAGAATGTTCCCTTTCCTTCGTTTTCTTCTTTTGCTTCTCCCATCCACAGACGACACGATGAGAGGACTAGTCAACGGCACAATGAATTGTTTTTTAGTAACAGAACTGATGGTCTAGTCAAACTCTTCTGTCGTACTGATCAAACTGCTCGAAGTGAGCGGAAAGTGTCAAGACTGGCATTGTCTACATCTGCCAAAAGATTTGTACAGTATATATATATATATAAAAAAAAAGAAACATGCCAATGTCTGATTTTTGTAGGACTTTGAAAA